AAAACGAAATCGAAAACGAAAAGAAGAGCCAACAAGTCAAAAGCCAGCTTCAAACTTCAAGAACGAAAGTGCACAGAACGAATGAGTGTGAGGAGGAGCAGGAGTGGCCGTGGCAGTGACTCCTTTGAGGCTTTGAGCTTACCGTAGCTTCTCCAGCGACCAGTAGTGAGTGGCTCCGTTCTTGGTGTCTGTGACTTCGACGGCCACCAGGGTCTTGGACACGGGCGGTGCTCCAAACTCGTCCTCCTGCTGCAGCGGTGCGACACTCGAGGCCAGCTCGGGTGGCAGCGGAGAGTACAGAGTGTCGGTCAAGAGAGTGAATTGGAATTGCACCTGCAGGAGGGAGAGCAGAACCATTAGCCATCTCATCTCCAGTGATGAGCTGCTGCTTACCTTCTTCTTTAGTTCAACGGAAATGGCATTGGCCTCCTTGAGGAATATGGCATTGCCCCAGAGATCATCGCGCAGCGAGGTGAACTGATGGTAGCGCCACTTGCGGAAGGCCCAAGCGGCCAGGCCAGCCTCGCGAGCTGTCCAGCACGACTCGTACATGGGATTGTCTGTGGACGGAGCGGGGTTAAAAGCTGCACTTCTAAGAGACAAATGTATTTCACTCACTGTAGACATCCTCCTCTTGATGGAAATCCTCCGGGGAGTAGCTGCTGTACATGGACATGGTCATGGACTGCTCCTCGACCTGCTTCTGCAGTGCATCGATGCGTGCCTCGTAGGTCTTGCGCTGCTCCTCGAACTGCTGGTCGGCCTGCAGCTTCTCGCGCTTGTACTGCTCCTCGAGGTTGTCGAGACGCTTCTTCATCTCGGCCTTGAGGTCGATGCCCTGCTTCTCGAGCAGCTCGCACTGGGCAAAGTTCCAGTCCGGTGCGTCGGCCTTCTCCTTCTCCTCGTTCTCGGCCTCGTTCTCGGTGATCTTCTCGCGCAGCTCGCGTGCCTGCTCCGGATTGGTGAAGCGGAACACGTGATTCTTGCCCAGAATGACACGCGAGCCGGTCTTCAGCACCTCCGGCTCCACCAGCTGGCGTCCGTTCACATAGATAATGGCATCCTTGTGGGGCAGCAGGGTCACGGTGCTGTTGCGGTTCTCAAAGGTGCAGTGCTCCTTGAGGATGTGCGACCCGGACAGCTGTATGTCCTGCGGCACATTCGCCTCGTGGGTGCCCAGCCGCGTGAGCCCGTCCTTGATGTAGTACAGCAGACACTCGGACAGGTTCGGGTCCTCGTTGAGGTTCACCAGATGCGGCGTCTTCTTGGGCGAGAACACGCCCACAGTGATGCCGTCCTCCTTGACGGCCACACCCATTTCGGCAAAGACAGCCTCACGCTGCAGGCGAATCTCCTCGGTGCGCTTCAGCTTCTCCTCCCAGGTCTCATTGAGTTCTGCGGGGGGAGAGAGGATTAGCTGGGGATTGTAGTCCAGTCATTAGGGATTGCCTGTGGCTGATTACTCACCTGCAATGAGCTTCTCGCTGGCCTGCAGCTGATCCACGGCCATTTCCGTGGTGGAGCCATTGCGATTGCGCGATTTCGATGGCGACTTGATGCCCGTCGTGGACTTGTTCAGCTCATCCTCTGCAAGTACGTGAACGGGTGGGGTATTAGCAGTTGGAATCTAGAATCTGGAATCTGGAACCTCTGACTCAAGGACACAAGTCACAAGCGCAGTGATAAGCGTGCTATGTAAGGCACCAAAATATGCAATACATATATGTATATGTATAGGATATGTAGATACAGATACAGATTGGATAAAGTAATGTAGATAGCGATACGAAGAAAAGAAGCAACTGCCAATTGGGTTGGGTTTTGGTTTTGGTTTTGGATTGGCCTAACTCTGGCATGTCCACGTCTAGCCCTAAAGCTGCCAGGACTGCAAGGAGTGGGAGCCTGTCACTTGTCTGTTTTTTGGGGGGCAACTCAAAGGAAAATGCTGCCGCAGCAGCAGCTGTTATATGTGTGTGTGTGTGTGTGTGTGTGAGTGTAGTTGTGTGGCAACATAAGTAGGACTTGTTGGTGATTATCGTATGGGATTATGGATATACGGTTATATGTCCTGAAGCGATTTGTTTAGAAGCTTTAAGTAGATACGAAACAGCAGCACATTACAGACGCAAGTAGTACACACACATACATAAAAGTAGATGTAGGATATGTACAGTGCGTTTCAACACTGTAGGAGCACTCAATATACAACTCTAAGCTGCGAAACGCACTGCACACAGCCATGTTGGGGCGTATTTTGGTTAACATTTTGCATGTGAAGCCTTTAGTTTTTTTGTTGCTTTTTTTATTGTTTTTAGCGCTACTTACTATTCGCATCGCGCTTCTCGCACACCACCTTGCCATCGGGTCCTAAACGAAATAGGGTTTTGGGTTGGTTCTTTGCTTTGCTTTGGTTTCTGGTTAAGGTTCTGTTTAAGGTTTCGTACACGCTAATCAAGGACTAGGGCTAACTTAGGATTTTGGAGAGCGTTTCTCTTGTACATATGAGCGTCTGTGTGTTTGTTGTGTGGACTTAGGTTTAGGCCTAGTCGTAGATATTCTAGCTTAAGCTTAGTCTGCTGGGAAAATGCTTACCTTCCTGCACCTCAATGCCCTCGGCCTTGAGCAGATCCCGCAGCTTCTGTATCTCCTCCTTGAGCTCGCGTATAAGCTTCGCATTGGCATCCTCATTGACCACTGCCTTGCACACAATTTGCTTGGCACGATCCGCATACCTAATGGGAGCATTACACCAATTATTTTAGACCCTAAATGTAAGGAATAATCCCCGCAGGCATACCTCAGAGTGCTCAGCGTCTCGTCGTAGTTGATGTCCGCCGGGGAAATGGCTGCTATCATGGCCGTCTTGGAGTTGCCACCGAGATTCTCGCGCAGCAACCAAGTCAGTGCCGAGTCGCGGTAGGGTATAAAGTCGGCCTTCTTGTTGTGTTTCTTCTTCGATGCCTGCAAAGGGAGGGATTCAAGTGTCAAAAGGGGGGCCCATGGCAACCACAAATTTCGAATAACTTACAGACTGGAAGGCCAAAGGGCAGCGGGCAATGGGCGTAAAAGAATTATTTAGCATTCAGTTTTGGTCAAGATGAACTTCGATCTTAGCTGCTAGAGAGACTTACGACTTCGGCCAGAGCGGAGATGACTTTGCCCAGCGTGGTCAGGGACTTGTTGATGTTGGCGCCCTCCTTCAAGCGTGTGCCCTTGGCGCCAGTGGAGTCGGCACGCTCCGAACCGGCCAGATCCACCAGACTGATCTTGGAGACCTTCTCGGTGGTCAGATCGGTCATTGTGTCGTGGCGACGCTGTGTAAAGAAGATGGTGAAGACGGCATGCGAGCGCGAGCTTGTCTCGTTCATGTTGGTGGCGGCCACAGTTCTAAGGAGCAACACATTAGCAGGCATTCCCAGTGGAAGTGGCTTCACCGTAACCTACCGCGCCTTGTTGCCCTCATCGATGAGGTCGTGTATGTCCTGGTAGTCGGTTACTGCCAGCTTGGACAGATCCTCGACGTAGGGACCCAGCAATGGATGCTCGCGCACCCGCAAGTTGCCCTTGTTCTTGGGATTCAGCAGATCCCGCACTCGCTCGCAGTAGATCTCCATGTAGGAGACCTCAACCTGAGATTTCGATTGTTATCTGTATGCCATTCTCTGTGGATAAGGATTCTCTGACTTACCGAATACTTGAGCTCATCGTTTTCGGTTTTGTGTATGCGACTGAAGAGATCCTGGCATATCATGGGTATGATGCCCTCCTGCTGCTCCTCCTGCCTGCCCATCATGGTGTAGGACTTGCCGGCACCGGTCTGGCCATAGGCAAAGATGCACACGTTGTAGCCATCGAAGGAATGTTGGAGCATCTCCTCGCCAATGTCCTTGTAGACCATCGTCTGTGTGGAAAAGTCCGAGTCGCGTGGCTAAAAGGAAGAAGGCGGAGAGATTGTATTCTCCCATCCGAAGAGCTGACTCTGTGATGCGAAACTTACATCATGGGACCAGTAGGAGTAATCAAAGTTGAAACGCTTCACCGCCTCACTCGTGTTGGGCGGCACCTTTGGATTGGTTATGGCTGCCAGAAAAGAGCAAGGATTACAAATTACAATTACGGTCTATGGAAGAGAGTGTGGGTGAGTGGGTGAGTCTCTTACCCGTGGTGGCCCCGGTCATCTCGATGATGCATTTCGACTCCCTGCCTATTTCGCGCGAGTTGAAGGGGCGCACTCGCACCGCCACCTTAACCGACGACATCTTTGGCTCTGCCTTGTCTCGCGCTGCTCCTGGGTGTTGTGTGTGTCTCCTGCGGGGCTGCGGTTAACTGGAGTGGAAGGGTAACAAATTTCATATTATAAAACACATACAAATCCCTGGAGTGCCCTGCTGTCGTTTCATAATTGCCTCAACTGAGTGCTGGGCATAGAATTTGCTATGAGTCATTTCCAGGGCAAGTCGCCAGGGAAATTCGAATTGTAGGATTGTGGGTCGCATATGTATAGAGAGTTCTTAGCCATAATAAAGGAGCATCTTTAGCTGGGAGATCGTTATGTAAACATTTCCCTGCTTAAGAGTGTCCAAATACATAAATTTCTTTAGTTCCTTTCCTTCTCCCAAGTTAGTTTTACTTTTATTGAACTTTGAAGTCAAGCAAATAGTTTTCCCACCCTCTGGGACTTGCAGTTATGTTGGGTTGGGTTGGAGGAACATTCCACAATATATTTGTACTCTTTCCACACGCTCTTTTCTCCTCCACTCTTCTCTGCTCTGCTCTGCTCTGCTCTGCTCTTCCAGGCAGAGCATCGACGAGTGTCGGCCACTCGAATGAGTCATCAAGCAGAAAACACACAATCACACACCCACCCCACACATACACATGCATTTACTGTAATCTTTGGTTCCATTTACCTTTTAGTTGCTGGCTTACTGAAGGAAGATCTCCCTGGAGTTGCACATATTCTCGTAATTCCAATGAGATTCACTTTTAATGGTTTTTCCCGTAAATGTTTAGCAACGGAATGGTTTTATAGCCTCACACAATTTGAATACCGCACTGCAAGTGTTTTATTTGTTGTTTTTGCTCTTCGTACAATGAAATTCTTTTGCTTGCGCACAGTCGTGTCCTGAAATATGGAGACACTTAGCTTGAGACCTTTGGGACAATTCCAATGATTTTGATTCTCCACTGCGCAACTCTCTCTTGAGCGCGCTCTCTCTCTCTCTCTCTCTCTCTCTGTCTGTAGTTCTCTCTCTTTCTCAATCTCTCTCTCTCTCTCTCTCTTTGTTTACCTGAGCAAAAATATATTTTTTGTTTATGTGCGTTTTGATGAATCTGTCACAGCAGGCATGCAACAGTCTGCAGCAGGATTGAGGCAAAAGTCTCCAGAGAAGCCCCTGCGCAGTGCAAGAAAGTAGAGAGAGAAAGAGACAGAGTGACAGGCATAAAGAGAGAGGTGAAACATGCTAAATATTTGTGTAATGTTTTAGTTGAATATTTTCCATGATATGCAGTCTGAGGGAAATCATAGAGAATGCAAATTTATGTGAGAAACTAGCAATAGAAAAGGAATGCAGCTTGCAGGATGATTAATATGACAGAGAAGCGCGAACTTGCCCTCAACTCGAACTTGTTTAGTGCTCATAAAAGGTTTCACTCGAGACAAGGCAACAGCCAAGGCAAAGGACTAAACAAATCCTTCACTTTTATGGCTTCCTGTGGGGCAAAGGCAAGGCACGCCAAAGGCAAGGCACTGCCATGGACACGCTCGTAGCATAGCATACATATTCTTCGCTCAGGTCGTCTTGACCTTTATTAATAAATTTTCATGTTGCCTTCGCCACGGACACACAGCGGACGAATCTCTACACTCTCCAACCACCCACGGACGACTCTACACACAGCAGCGAGCGGAGCGAGGCTAAGCACATGATTCTGGAGGCCACTGTGGCGATTGGTTGAGATGAAAAAAAAAGAGGAGAAAAACGAAATGGAAATTATATAAAAACTGAAACTGATGGCAAATGTCTTGAGACTACGACTAAATGTCACACGCGAATCGATGAAATTTTGCAAATATATTTTTGAAGCATTTACCAATTGATTTTTCGTTTCCCCTTTTCTTTTTTTTAAGCAAGATTTAGATAAGCCCTCAGATTTATTTATTTAAACTCAAACTCAAAAGGATTTCTGTTTCAGGAACATTTGTGGCTGTTCCAGATAGTCCTCTTGCTGCTGTTGTGGCTCTTGTTGCTGTTGTTCCTGTGTGTAATTGAATACGAGAACAAAGCTGTCCAACATGGATCGCTTTGAGGTCGTGGCAAATATGATGGATAGCACCAGAATTGTTGTTAGCAATAGGGCAAAAAACAATAGGTAACCAAAAGCGCACATTCGCGTAGCTTTGTTCAAATCCTTTCTTTACTTTTTATATCCTAAATGTAACATATACATTTGTATCCACATACATGTACTATGTGTGTATTTGTGAGGACGGGGTCTGGGGTCTGGGGTCTGGCTTTCTGTATAACAGAGAAAATTTTGCACTCCGCTTGGGGGAAAAGTTGTACTATGATTCTTGGATTATTTTTGGATATTTCCTTGTTATTTCATGGTGGATTTTCTTTACTTGGCTGCGACTTGAGCTTTGTTTTGTGGGGTTTTTTCACTGGGAAAGAGGAAAACTTTCTGCCTTTTCTTTCTTCTTTTCTGCACAAAATCGATGGGCAGCCAGAACTGTGGCACGCGCACGAGTCACACGATTCAAATCGAGACCAGAACGAACTGCACCCGTTAAGGGTAGACGACACAGTGAATCCGAGAGTCACATTCGAGTTGGGTCGGGTCGAGCTGCCAGGATTGCGACTGCTGCTGCTACGACCAGCCTTCCAGCCAGGCGCATGCGTCCTGAGCGGGCCAAGGGGGGGTGTTCAGCACAGTAGCTGGAGGGGGGCAGGCAGTGCAAGGGTATGCCAAAAATTTGATCAATTTCATAAAGAACTGCGGGCCCCGTCATCGTTTAGACACAAGAATTTCATTAATAAGTCAGGTGTGCACACTGTCCCTGTCCACCACTGTCAGCCGCCGGTGTGAGCCGCCCCGTCCGCCCGCCACTGTTTGTTTGATCTTATTATGAGCCATTCCGCTGTCGCTGCTTGCTGCTTGCTGCTTGCTACTTGCTGCTTGCCACTGCCCCTTGCTTGGGCAGAGTGACTTCTCCCCTGATGACGTAAAATGAATTGTGAATTGTATTCCACATCTACATACATCCACACTGTGCTGCTTTTTCAAGCTTCTTTCCACTTTTCCTATTGATTTACCAGCGCCTGGCGTCGTCTTCCCTCGAGTGGGGGTGCCTGACGCACAGCACAGGACGAGCTCTGGCTCTGGCTTTGACTTTTTTATGTTACTGGTAGTTTCATTTGTGTGCTTCTCCGCCGTAATTGCATTGACATTGAAATCTGACGCTGCCGCTGCCGCTGCCGCTGACAAGGAGAGTGACAAGCAAGCGCTATGGGGCGCCACGGAGTGGGTGGAGCTGTCCAGAACAATCTTACATTGATGGCGTTGCTCTGCGTATGCTAGTACTTTGAATATTAATGTATGTTTAACGAGTTTCCCGTTAGCTTTAAGGCCTCTATTGGACTGTGGGTGGTCGGTGGCGAAATGTATTGAGTGAGAAGTCACTTGAGTCCTGGCCTAAAAGTCGAAATTCTTTGAATTTTCCTTTTCTTTCAAGCACAAATGAAAACAGTTCTTCTCTTCAGTTCTTCACTTATATTTATTTGGGTTTTCAAAGGTAATCTTATGCAATAGTCCTACCAGATACGCAGTTATAGACTCAACAAAATATCGTTTAAAATATTGTTTAAAAATGAACAAAATTGGTTTTGTTGAAGTTGAAATATTTCCCTATCGGTATAGATTTGATTTTCAGCGATGAGGCAGACGGTTAAGAAGTTATACAACTTTTTAACAATCCACATGCTCCACTCTACAAACGAATGACAAGCAAAGATTTAGCACAATTTCTCATACTCATATAGCCACGACCTGCACTGTACTCATTTCATTCCTATTACTGCGCAGTGTTTTCTTTTTGGGGGGCAGTTGAAGGGAGCTGGCCACCCACACACACGGACCAAAATGGGAACCCAAATAATATCGAGCGTGTGTGGGGCAGACTGTGGTCGGGTCGTTGACGTTCACGTTGTACGCGTCGTTATATTGTTGGACTGCGCAATTCCGAATCTTCCTCGCAGCTTTAAGGACTTTCCGCAGGCAAAAGTCATTGACAGTTCACGAGCAGCAGACAGCCACAGAAAAACAGAATTTGAAACATTTGCGAGCTGCATCATCCTCGTGCATCGAAAGCGGGGCGGAGTTCGGCGACTGTCTGGGCCCAGATCCTGGGCTCGTAATTAAAATATCACACTCCATGGAGTGGGCAACTTTAAACTGAAAGAAGGCTGAAAGATGAGTCATTCCCTGCATTGAAATCAACATTTTAAATGGAAATAAGGAGAACTCTTCAAATGGCAGCAGACACGTGAAGTCTCTCCTGCTCGCCGCTGCTGGGCGGTCTGGACGGTCTCCTCCATTAAGTCTAGGACATAAATGAAATGCGATTTTGTTAGTTAGATTATTGCCAAGAAGGCAAGAGGCAGCCAGTGGCAGCCGAATGGCACTAACAGCGGAACGCAGAAGTGAGTAGAGGAGCCAAAGAGAAGGAGCCAGAAGGAAAGCAAAGCCTGCCCCACGCAAAAAGCCACACACACTCGCTACGTCCCTCTCCTACACACAAAGGCAGCCCTTGGATGACTCATTCGGGCAAAATGTCCGTGCCAAGCTCTTCTCTCTGTATGTGTGTGTGTGTGTGTGACAGTCGCGTCCCTGCCACCATGCCTGGCACCTACAAGCGTACAAAAGAGCAGAAAGCAGCAGAAGGAACAGCAAGAAGGAAAGGAAGAAACACCCCAGCCAAATGGTGAATCATCTTTCGGGAGGCAAAAAACATTCTCCACGCGCCGTTTTCATTCGATTTCCTTTGGTTTTTCTCATCATTTCAAGGTTTGTTTACTAGTTTTTTTGTGTTTCGTTGTTCTGCCGCAGGAATGCCTCCACTTTGTGGCAGGGAATGTTGTAACTTTCGGTGCCGCCTTGATGTCGCTATACACATCTACACGTATGTATTTGTATATGTATTTACTTTGTATGAAGACACACGCTGATTAGCAAGTATTTTCCATTTGCGGCATAGTTATAGGGAACAGCAGCAGCAGCAGCAACAGCGGCAGGACCTCGCCTGACCACACGTGATGTAGTAGACCGCAATGGGGGGGGGACACAGCCACGCCCCAGGCACCACTGCAACTCGAATGGGGAGCACTTAAAAGTGCAGCCAGCAGCAGCAACATAAATCATTTTGGGAGTAGACCGCAGCGCAAGTACTGCCACTGCCAGGTACTCCTCCACTTTGGCTAACACAATTAATAATACAGCCCACGGGCCGGGAAGCCATTTTTCTCGAACTGGTGAACCCGAACCTGAACCCGAGCCTGAACCACTCTGGTAAACACTTTTCCTACCTCTACCTCCATTGCGGTTTTAATGTCGCGCGAGCGCTCACCGTAAATTTATGTTTATTGCAGGACCTGTTCCGCCCCCATTCTGGTACTCCTTTTGGGCTACGCCTGGGGAACAGTCCACTCTTTTTCGTCCTTCTTCTTTTTTTGTTTTGTTTTTGCTATAAGTATTTTCCCTTATTTATTCATGACACTTTGGAAGCCAGTTTATGCTGCGGTTGGACGGGAGAGAGCGGAGCGGAGTAGAGCAGAGCAGAGTCCTCTTTAAGCTGCGGTCCTAAGCTTGAATAACACTTTATTTATGGGAAGGACTCTAAGGACTGTAAGAGCGTAAGCCCGGACCCCTGGCTCTCATCTTTTCCAATGAAGGCAAAAGGCAAACAATAATCGCACTTCACACTTAATCTGGCAATCAGAGCTGGAGCTGGAGCTGGAGCTGGAGAGGGCCATAATCATAATCATCATAACGCATCCTGGAGCGGGGCGTGGGTTTGCCAGCAATCCACACACATGCCACAGGGTGTACGGGTCCGACTTGCAACTGACTTTTTGCGTCGCACATTAAGGTGAAGGTTGAGTGGCGGCTGTGCCTGTCTCACCCACAAAGGACGGACTCTGGGGAGCTACGCAAATATTTAAACACTCCCGTACCCTGCGACACACTCCACTCCAGAGATTGTTGTTGTTAACTCAATTTCATATCCCAATTCCTGACGTCAATCGTTGTCGGTCAAATTTGCACTGCGATAAGCCAGTCAGCCGCTTGCTGGCGGATGGACAGGGGGCGGGAACGTGCGCCTGGCGGCAGGCAACATAAATGTGTGTTCCGTTCCGCCCTGATGACTGGCTTGCTGCACCATATGCTCGGCCAAGGAAGATTGCAAACAACAGCAAAGAGGTTTATTTTTAGCCCACGTGGGGGAGGCGCGCAGCAGCAGCTGCCCCGAAACGCCCACGCCAGGATGTGCCAGGCCCAACAGCTGCTGGACCGCAACAGGAGAACGAGCAGTGGCTGGGTGGATGGGTGGCAGGTCTTAGCCTGCGGGAGATGCGTGCGCAGTTCTCAGAAAGCAAACAGCAAGTGGAATATTGATTTTTACCACAAACGCACGAATACAGCAAGGAATGTAAAGTTTTATCCCAAAACGAATTCGATTTTTGGCGTTACTCACATTCAAAGGGAGAACAAAACTCCTTTTTGCGGCTCCTCCGTTTGTGTGTCGTCTGGGTGGGAATGTGGGAATGTGGGAAGCACTTTTGCTCCTTTTTGGATCACAATCACAATTAACGTTTACTTATTGCACTCAATTTTCTCGTTCTTTGGGGGCTTACGATTTGAATTTGGATTTTGATTTAAATTCTCTTTTGATTAAGTTTGGGGTCGGCGGCGGTGGCCATTACGAGAACACGCAACAAACGACACTGCCAGCGGTTGGTGGCCATTTGGTTCGGGCATTTTCCAGCTTGGGAAAACGAACTGGGCGAAAAGTGAATTTTCCGCCCCAAGATTTTTGTTTTTGTTTGTTGTGCTTGTGGTGTGCTGTGGTGTGGTGTGGGGCAAGGCAAAACAGCTGATGGCGCTCCTAGAGATGACACATCGCGTACGGCATGCACAGTTGAGCAGACAACGCATTTATGAGCAGAGCTATCGATAACCGCACATCGACATCACAGGAACATCACAGAAGCAATGTAAGTTTTTTCCTTCTTCTTATTGTATTTATTAAATAAATAAATCCCCGCTCGCAATAACTATAAATTGATTTCAGTTACCCAGCCATAGTCATGTTTACAGCACGCAAACTCACACAGGCAGCGCGGTAAGTGCAGCACAAATGTGCAATTAATCGATGCCGGCTCCAAGCGCCTCCCCATTCCCCATTCACCATTCGGTTATATAAATTATAACAAAACAACAATTACACTATATAGGCACGACCATGAACTTGATTATCTGCTAACGCTGCTGGTACATGTTTGTTTCCCCCCCACCCAACAGCATTGCAGTGCGCGGCAAGCACTCGCTGCCGAAGTTGCCCTACGACTATGCCGCATTGGAGCCCATCATTTGCCGCGAGATCATGGAGTTGCACCACCAGAAGCACCACCAGACCTACGTCAACAACCTGAACGCCGCCGAGGAGCAGCTGGCAGAGGCCACATCCAAGAGCAACACCTCCAAGATCATCCAACTGGCCCCGGCCCTGCGCTTCAATGGCGGCGGGCACATCAATCACAGCATCTTCTGGCAGAATCTCTCGCCCAGCAAGTCCGCACCCAGCGATGACCTCAAGAAGGCCATCGAGTCGCAGTGGAAGAGCTTCGATGAGTTCAAGAAGGAGCTCAGCGCCCTCACCGTGGGTGTTCAGGGCTCTGGCTGGGGCTGGCTGGGCTACAACAAGAAGACGGGCAAGCTGCAGCTGGCTGCTCTGCCCAACCAGGATCCGCTGGAGGCCAGCACCGGCCTGGTGCCCCTCTTCGGCATCGATGTGTGGGAGCACGCCTACTACTTGCAGTACAAGAATGTGCGCCCCTCGTATGTGGAGGCCATCTGGGACATTGCCAACTGGGATGACATCTCGTGCCGCTTCCAGGAGGCCAAGAAGCTCACCGCCTAGGCTGGTGGTTCACGTTTTGTGTTTACTATCTAAGCAACGGATCATAGATCCCCTTCCCAGTCTGTAGTCTGAGATTTCGGCAAATATAAATTCAACACTTATGTGGAACTTGAACTGCCGCATAAACCACAACCTCCACCGTTTTGCAACACTGTTGACTCGTATGGCGGCACATTTGAAAATTGCTTTGTGCGCGTGTGTGCTGTGAGTTTTCCGTTCAATGATTTCCGCTTCGTTTCAAATGAAACACTTGAGAAACCCACAACCCACACGAAATGTCTGGATTTCGTATTCCCTCTCGAATCAACATCGATCTGACCGACAAAAAGGCACAGCAAATTCTCCACAACGGTTTAAACTTTCGTAAGTTTTTCCAGCGCGAAAACCCCGGAAGCCTCCTCTAATCTAGTTCACAGCTCTTGCAGAACCCACAACGATGTCTGCAGAGGTAAACCACAAGTCGGTCATCATTGACAATGGTTCGGGCGTGTGCAAGGCGGGTCTCTGCAGCGACACAAAGCCGCGGGTCGTGTTCCCCTCGGTCGTGGGGCGGCCGCGCCATCAGAACGTTCTCCTGGACTGCCGCATCGTGGACGCCATCGGGGAGGGTGCGATCAGCAAGCGTGGCATGCTCACCCTCAGGTATCCCATTGAGCACGGGGTGGTGACCAATTGGGAGGACATGCAGAAGATCTGGAAGCACACGTACGACCTGCTGGATGTCGACCCCCGAGCTGCTCCCGTGCTGCTCACCGAGGCGCCGCTCAATCCGCGTGCGAACCGCGAGAAGATGGCAGAGATCATGTTTGAGTGCTTCAATGTGCCTGCCCTGTACGTGGCCATACAGGCGGTGCTCTCGCTCTACTCCACTGGACGCACCACGGGGCTGGTGCTGGACTCGGGCGACGGCGTCACCCACACGGTGCCCATCTACGAGGGTTACGCCATGTCGCATGGCTGCCAGCGGCTGGACCTAGCTGGCCGCGATCTCAGCGATTACCTGTGCAAGTTGCTCACGGAGCGTGGCCTGCAGATGACAACCAGTGCCGAGCGGGACATTGTGCGTGACATAAAGGAGAAACTCTGCTACGTTTCGCTCGACTACCAGCAGGAGTTGATGGAGAACGTTTCCACCAGACAGCAGCTGCACTCGACTGCCGATGGCTGCCATCAAGCAGCGGAGATCTACGAGCTGCCCGATGGCCAGAAGATCCGCTTGGGCAGCGAGCGCTTCCGCTGCCCAGAGGCACTTTTCCAGCCCGGTCTGCTGGGTCTGCAGATGCAGGGTGTGCACCTGGCCACCCACAAGTCCATACACAAGTGTGACATTGATCTGCGGCGCGATCTCTACGAGAATATTGTGCTCTCCGGCGGCACCACAATGTTCCCCAACCTTGGGGAGCGCCTGCAGCGGGAACTCTCGCTGCTGGCAGCGCCCAGCACCCGAATCAGGATCAAGGCCTGTCCCGAGCGTCGCTTTGCCGTGTGGTTGGGTGGCTCGGTGCTGGCCTCACTCACCAGCTTCCAGGACATGTGGATCAACCGATCGGAGTACGAGGAGGTGGGCTGCAGCATTGTGCATCGCAAGTGCTTCTAAACGGGTGTCTTTGACTTCTTTTCTGTCTATATTTTGTTACTTAAACTCTCGAGTCTCTCTATCTCTCTGTGGTAACCATTTTCCATTAGCATTTTTCGTTGACAATTCGAGTTGCATTGATTTTAATTAATTGCGAATTTATCAATGTTGTGCCACATCGCTGTTGCACGTTGCACGTTGCACGCTGCACGCAACTGTTGACTGACTTCCTTCGGTGTGTGTTTGCTTTGGTTTCCAGCTATTCTTTTTTGATGCCAGTTGACACACGTGCAGCAGCGGCTCTGGCCACAAAAGGCACAGAGCTCCAAAGCGTTTCACCTTCAAACATAATCATAATCGTCGGAGCTGCATCATTCTGCGGCATTCTGTGGCAGCATTCAGCTGCACTTGAGGCGCTTTTGTGGCTGCACTTCACTCGATTCTGATCACGGATCTATGTGCCAGCAGCAGCAGCAGCCAAAAGAGGGCTGGGTTTTGAAGGTCGCTGCTTGGATACCCTTGCAGCTGCATCTACTTATCGTTGTACAATCATTTGGGGGGATTGCACATAGCCAGGGTGAACCTGTGAACACTCTGTGAAAGGGTACAACGGCAGAGTGCAGCTGCCTGGCATTAGCCCCTTCTAAACGCATCAAAACCACACGAGATCAGAGCTGGGGACTTGCAGCGTATTTGAAGTGTAAAGTTGAATAAACCCCCCGATTGATTGCTCCAAATTGATGTGCGAATTAGGAGCAACCAGGTGGAGACTCAAACTGGAGCCTCAATCGATCTGACAGCAGCTTAGAAGGGTTCTACGCTCCATGTAGAGAGACTGCCACTGGTGACTGTCGCTCTGCCTCCCCCAAGGTTGCGTAAAATTCGTCACTTCACTTTGCCAGCGGGCGGGATCTCGCTTGGCATCATTTGGAGATCGTCTGCGACAGCTACTGAGCGCAGTGCAATTTTGTAAATTGTTTCCATTTTGGTTGCCTCATGGCTCTGCATCACTTCATTTGCCTGCCTGCCTGCCTGCCTGCCCGCGTCTTCCTTCTTTTAAATGCATAAATAAATTCAAATTCGTGAGGCCATAAATTAAAAAGGGACATGAGCGAGCAACATGGCCAGCAGCAGTGGGAGAGCAGCACACACGGCATTGTGTCATTGTGTCCCGAAGCAGAGAGAGAGAGAGAGAGAGAGCACATCACATGAATGTGAGCATGAATGTAGTCTGCAGCATCTCTGGGCCTGTCTCTGGCATGTCTGGCACTTCTTCGATGTCGCCAAAGTCGCTAATTTCATATGCATGCAATGGAGCGTTAATAAATGTTCCGACGGAGCTGGCAGCGGCCCCAGAGTTGGGGCATGTTTTCGCGCAGCATTAGATGCGCCATGGTCCATGGGTTTTCCTATCATGCCAACCCATTCCCCATTCCCCATGCCATTCTGTTGTTTATCTAGCCTCAATTTATAGTTCGCTACGCAGTACAACACGAGTACCTGGTCGGTCGTACCTGTTGCTCTCCTGTCAACACACATTAAGGGGAGAATGGAAATTTATTTACGAACCCAAACAACACACAAAAACAAGCAAGGAAAACAAGTGCCAGGGAGGTTGAAGCTACAAATACACTTGCTGGCTAATTCATTTCCCCGAGTAATTTCTCTCTTCTGCTGCCCCACAAACTGCTCAGCCAAGTCCCCGAACTCCTTCCAAAGAGTAGCCCAAACTACGCACTATTTGTACTGCGCAGTCGCCAGGCCACAGAGAACTTGGCTTGGCAGCCCTGGTCGACAACCTGTGTGTCCATTCATTATCCTTGTGGCCACGGGATGAGTCAGCTGGAGGAGACCACAACCAGGGCACGGCTCAGATGGATCTGCATCTGTGGCCTGGCCATCTCCCTGTACTCGCTGCACGTCAAGTGGCAGCTGGACCAGAATGCGGACTACGTGGCCATGTGTGATCTGGCGGAGAAGGTTAGCTGCACGGCGGTGTTCAAGTCTGAGTGAGTAGAGTGGAGGCTGAAGCTTTCCCTCTAGCTGGAGTACAATTCACTTCTTCCCTTTGCAGCTATGGCCGTGGCTTTGGCTTGACGCAGCTGCTCTTTGGCTCCACCTCCAGCTCGTATCTGAATCCCCCAAATGGCGCCATTGGCAGTGTCTTTTATGTGCTGCTATTTGTCAGTTGTGAGTCTGATTTAATTGATTCTGATTACTTGTATCTATGGCACATCTCTCTCTTCCCCTTGCAGCCTTCTTCGAGCATCGCTGGCTGTGCCTGCTGCAACTTTTGCTGTCCATTGTGACGCTTCTTCTGTGCTTCTATCTGGGATTCCTGCTCCTGTTCGTCCTGTTTGATTGCTGTGTAGTCTGCCTGCTCGTCTATGTGGTGCACACGCTGCTCTTCCTGGAGGTCCAAGGGCGTTACAAGCGACTCCACCTACAGTCCAGCCAGAAGTTGGCCCTCGAGTGAATTCATGTACAAAAATGCAGATTAAAAAGTGAATCTAGAAGCAAGATTCATGTGGTTTGATGGCTTAGCCCCTTGGGTAGGTTAAGCTGCTGACGTGCTCCGACTGCGACTCCATATCCGCCTTCATATCCAGCTCTGATCTTCATCTTTTTCGTCAAATCGCTCGCTTCTGACCCGCACGTTTGCCGGCTGGATGGATGAGCAGCTGCCTCCCATGGCCAGGCACGTACCCACTGCTCGGAGGCAATTAATTCTGCACGTTCCCATTTGTCGTCGGCTGTGAAGGCTGCGTGTGAATGGCGGCGCTGGCGCTACTTCTGCTTCCCAAGCGGTGGGCGGCTGACTGGGAAAACTGAATGCAATTAATTTCCCATCAGTTTTGTGTGGGCGCTGGATTGGGTCTGGAATCAATGAATGAACCAATGGACTGCAGTTTGTGGTAAAGGGAGATCCGAGGATCTACTCTTGATCTGCACGAATGATCTGTATCTGTATCAATGAATGGAATCAACTGAGACTGCAATTGCGAGATCTTGGAATAATCTCTTCTTCTGCTCTTTGCCCGATCTTCGACTGATCTTCCATTCAACTAAAAGATCTTGTCATCAAAACGCACACAGCACAGCGCAGATCATAGATCTACTCCCAATTGGGGTCGCCTTTGGCACGATATTCTTCAATTGAAGCTGCACAAATTTGGGGCCATAGCTGCAGCTCGTAGTGATCGTACTCTGTACTCATAGTCGTACCTTTGACAAGTCAAACAAATGCAACAAATGCAACAAATGCGAAGAAGCTTGTCACAAACGACGAGGGCAGGCAGCACTCTCAAGATGCAGCAAACGCCGCCGCCGACACATTCACCCAGCGACCGAGCGAGTAGACTACTTTGCGCCAACGTAACTCCAGAGTGGGACTTGCAACGGGGTGGCAGAGGCAGACAGAAAGGGAGCTGCAAGCACAATCACCTCGCTGCGAAGATGTGCACCGAAAGAAGGCAAATCAGCTTGGCAACCCAGTTGGAAGCGGCATCGCGGGGCTAGAGCCAGAGCTAGAGCCAGAGCCAGCGCAGGGCCATGCCTGATTGAGATTTTTGCTTGCTGGCAGGCGGCTGGCGCTGGGCCATAGAACTGGCAACATGCCACAGCCAGCAGCGACAACGACAGCGACAAGCTCCAAATGCAGTTGAGTTTTGAAGATGATCGTATGTGGCAGCAGCTGTTCGTGGCTGTGGTTGCCACATGTTGTTGGGGACTGCCACCGTCTCAACTCATAACCGAGAGCTCCCCCTCTCTCTCTCTCTCTATCTATCTCTCTCTCTGGCTGTGTTTGTGCATCCTCGACTTTCAGTTTTTTCGATCGTTTCATATAAATACGCGCCCCAACTGCAGTCGGAGATCAGTCAGAATTTGGCGCTGCTTCGAGGCGCTACCAACAAACCAAAGCAACCTCCGCAGATCACAGATCAGAAGAGAGTTCCCCCCTTATGGCATCGTGGAATATGTTCAAGCTACTCGGCCTCACGCTGCTCTGCACGGCGGTTCTGGCGCGCCCCGAGCCTCCGGTCAACTCCTACCTCCCGCCGTCCGATAGCTATGGAGCGCCCGGCCAGAGCGGCCCAGGAGCACAGGGCGGTCGTCCCTCGGATTCGTATGGTCCTCCCGGCCTAGGACAAGGACAAGGACAAGGACAGGGACAGGGACAAAGACCGGGACAAGGCGGCTTTGGCGGCAAACCCTCCGACAGTTATGGTGCCCCAGGTGCTGGTGGCAACGGCGGCGGCGGCGGACGTCCCTCCAGCAGCTATGGCGCTCCAGGACAAGGCCAGGGTCAGGGCCAGGGTCAGGGTGGCTTTGGCGGACGTCCCTCCGACTCTTATGGCGCTCCAGGAGCTTCTGGTAATGGCAATGGCAACGCTGGACGTCCTTCAAGCAGTTACGGTGCTCCGGGCCAAGGACAAGGCGGTCGTCCTTCGAGCAGCTATGGTGCTCCAGGTGCAGGATCCGGCGGTCGTCCCTCAGACTCTTACGGCGCCCCAGGACAGGGCCAAGGACAGGGACAAGGACAAGGACAAGGACAAGGCGGTTTTGGCGGTCGCCCATCGGACTCTTATGGGGCTCCTGGTAATGGTAATGGCAATGGCAATGGCGGTGGCGGCAGCGGCAGCGGTGGTCGTCCCTCCAGCAGCTACGGCGCTCCCGGACAGGGCCAAGGACAGGGCCAGGGCCAAGGTGGTTTCGGCGGACGTCCTTCCGACTCTTATGGCGCTCCAGGAGCTTCCGGCAATGGCAATGGCAACGCTGGACGTCCTTCCAGCAGTTATGGTGCCCCTGGCGCTGGTTCTGGTTTCGGTTCCGGCTCGGGCGGTCGCCCCTCCGACTCTTATGGTCCTCCTGCCTCCGGTGCAGGAGCTGGCGGTTCCGGCGGACCTGGCGGCAGTGGCGGCGCTGACTACGACAATGATGTGAGTAGACCGTAGACCGTAGATTCGATTCGGGATGGGATGGGATGGGCGAAACGCTTGATTGAACGCGACACCTCGACACCTCTCCGCCTCCCCCTGCTGCACACATCGCCTTGATGCACGCCCCACGACCACGCCCCAATCTCTAGCTGGTTCTCTCTCTCTCTCCTGTCTGTCTCTCTGTCTCTGTCTCTTTGCACTGCTTGCTTGCTCCTTCCCCCTACCGCTCTTTGATCTCTTGTTTCTATCTGTCTATTTCTCTCTCTCTCTCTCTCTCCACACGCCCCCCGCTCCTTGGTACCGCGCCCCCCTCGCTCTGCCCTGCTCCCCGCTCTGCTCTGGGACGCAGGAGCCGGCCAAGTACGAGTTTAATTACCAGGTCGAGGACGCCCCCAGTGGGCTCTCGTTCGGGCACTCAGAGATGCGCGACGGTGACTTCACCACCGGCCAGTACAATGTCCTCTTGCCCGACGGAAGGAAGCAAGTAAGCGCCGAGGCGGGCATACAGGCGATGATGATTGTGATGATCCCTCCCTGCCCCTGCCCCTGCTCCTGCCACTGCTCTGTCACTGCTAATCTCTCTCCTCTCTCTTCTCCGACTCTCCGCCCGCACAGATCGTCGAGTACGAGGCGGACCAGCAGGGCTACCGGCCACAGATCCGCTACGAGGGCGAGGCCAACGATGGCAGCGGCGTCAGCGGTCCTGGTGGCCAGAATCTGGGCGCCGATGGCTACTCGAGCGGCCGTCCTGGCGGTAATGGCAACAGCGGCGGACGACCAGGTGGACAGGATCTCGGCCAGGGTGGCTACTCTGGTGGACGGCCTGGAGGTCAGGACTTGGGACAGAACGGCTACTCTGGCGGACGCCCTGGTGGCCAGGATCTCGGCCAAAATGGTTACTCTGGTGGTCGTCCAGGGGGTCAGGATCTCGGACAGAATGGCTATTCCGGTGGTCGACCAGGTGGCCAGGATTTAGGACAGAATGGTTACTCTGGCGGTCGTCCAGGAGGTCAGGATCTCGGACAGAATGGTTACTCAAGCGGACGGCCTGGCGGCAACGGTGGCAACGGTGGGAACGGCGATGGCGGACGCGTGACCATCGCGGGACGCATCACTGGTCCGGATGGCAACGACCAGGGTCAAGGCTTCTCCGGCGGTCGTGCTGCAGGCAACGCTGGACGCCAGGGCGGTGGTCAGGATCTCGGACGCGAAGGCTACTCCGGCGGACGTCCAGGTGGTCAGGACTTGGGACAGGGTGGCTACTCCGGCGGACGCCCAGGTGGTCAGGATCTCGGCCAGAATGGCTACTCCAGCGGCAAGCCAGCTCAAGGACAGGGTCAGGGCCGCAACGGCTTTGGTCCCGGTGGCCAGAATGGCGACAACGATGGCAGTGGCTACAGATACTAGGGCGGCGGACAGGACAGGATAACACAGGACACTCTCACACGTAGATCGATTCCAGGACACATTAGCTAGAGAAACTTTTCAGTAATTAGAGCTTAAGAACCTTCCCCTAGAACCTTCTGACCCTCAGCCCTCTCCCGCCCATTCTTAGGCCAATTTCGAAGCTCCATTTCCATCTCTTACTCATCTTCGGGGTCCCTAATCCCGCTCTATCATCATCCCCTGAGGACTCCCCGTTTAGCTTAAGTTTCATCTTATTGTTGTAGCTGCAAAATGCAAAGAAAATAACACAAAAAAAAAAAGAACAGCAGAAGGAAATGCTGAGAGAAATGATTACAAAATACTTGCTAAATATTTAAGTAATTAAATAAACAATAAACAAAATAAAACAACCAATTGAATGCATCAAATGCGGAACCAAAAGATGAATCGATTTTGAGGCTAAACCCCGTTTTGAAATATTCACTTAATTGACATTCAAGGAGAGTGTCGCCCAGTGTCGGGCTGGCAGCAACAATGAGAGAATACATCATCCAATGAACCCTCCTGCCACACCGAGTGTTTGGCTCAGTTTCCGGCTGACTGGCAGCATCAAAGTAGCGAAAGCAGCGAAAGCAGACCCGAGACCACTCCCCAGCATCTTCCCGGGAAGTGCAAAGTTTGTCATTAGTTATTTGCACTAATTAAGTGCAAAGCTCCTCCCCCCCTGGACGTGGCTTTCACTTTCGCTGCTGTCAGTACGTGTCCTGGTTGTGTAATTCTAGAGTCGCCTCCGCGTGGCGGCGCAGCGTCCTTCCATCAGCCCCACACCAGTGGTCCAGGCCACATTAATGGATTTGCCCAGCCGCACAATGAACGCAAATTGTTGCGAAGGCGACAACGGATTGAATTGCTCGACTCCCAACCCTTGAAAATCCGATTTCCGCGAAATTTAATAGTCACCTTTGTGTGTGGGTGTGTGTGTGTGTGTGTGTGTGCTGTTGTTGCTCCCTTTGGTATAATTTAGTTTAATTCATTAGCAGCAAAAGCAAATGCAAATGCAAATGCAAATGCAAATTATTCTATACAAAAAGGACACGCTGCAGCAGCACCTACAAATGGGATATTTCCTATCGGACTTTCCATAGCCACAGGCTGGACATATTTCATGGTTAATGGGGATTCTCAGCGACTGCTGCTACCATTTATATTTTGCCAATCAGGCATGGCAAATGAAAATTAAATTTACAAACCACTAGACAGCAGGGGAAAAAATTCAATGGAGCAAGCACCGCAGCAGCATCCTTTGAGCAAACTTGGAATGACTTTCAATGGGTGCGACGGAGAGCAGAGTTCAATGAAATGCAAGTTGACCCTGCAAGTGCCAGTCGTTCGACAGAATCGTTTAGGTTCTTGCCTACCTTCTGCTCAAAGGATAACCTTTGGCCAAAGATGGAGAAAAGCCAACCGCAGCAGACAACTTCAAAGAATGAATCACCCACATTTGGGGCTTCCTTTTTGGGCCAATACAAAAATAGAATTTGCCAAGTTTTTCCAGTCAATGCAAATATGTACCATAAATACGAGCATTTATTTACGAGCATTTATGTTGCGTGTGCCATGAAAATATTCAATCAGCAGCCGCACGAGGGATGCTGTGACAGGGCATGAGGCAGCGACTGAGGCATACGCTGCATAAATTACACGCCAAAGCCCTGCCCTCGTGGAATGTCTAGGAATATTTACTCATATTCAAATGCTGGTGCCCACGCGTGGGTTATATTTTTAAAGCAGACACTTACAAGCACCCATCGATCGGCTGGGCATCAATCAACAGCTCTTCCCCCAGCAATGTTCTGCTCAATAAAGCATCTCCACTTTTGCTGCTTGATTTTACACCTTTTACGACCCCGTCGTCATTGATGCCACACAACGCAGGTGGCAGAACGTGCTGAGTGGCATCAAAAAATCAATGTAAGTCCCGCAGCTTGAAGTGTCCCATGCGTGCAGCTGCGGGAAGGCGCTTAGAGGCGCCACAATGTTGCACGCGCTGTCGTCGCAATTGCGTGTCAAAGTTGACGCCGCACTCTCCAAATGACTTTCTGCTTGTCTTGTCAACCGAGCAACCAACAAGCCATCATCCGACTGGCAGCCCCCCCCCCCCTGGGGCGAGCTGCTCCGAAAGCGTGTACGAAAACGGGTTGAATGAAGAAAACCGGCTGCCGCCCCCGTCGCTGCCTGTGTTTGATTTTTCTGGTTTCTAATTCAAATTTACCGAGCGCAAACAGCACGGAGCACAGAGCACAGAGCACAGAGCACGGTGCACGGAGATGGCATTTAATTAAATATCACTCATACGTCAGACAGCCGCGTGGGCTAACGTCGTGACTCGTCTCGAGTCCGAGTCCGAGCCACAATTGCGTGCAACACGTGGGTCTGCCGCCTACGCCGTGCGTTTTCCATGACCAAAATAGAGGCAACATCTCGCCCACGAAGATTACTAGCCAGATTACTGATTCCACCAGAACTTTACCTCTAAGCTCCATTTACTCGGGAACTCTTTTTTGGCCCACTTTCGTGGACAGCTATGCAAACTTTGCGCACTAATTGCTGGCAAATTGCTGGACAAAGAGCTTCCCAGTTGCCCGGGGAACTTCTCCTGCAGGCTGCAGTTCAAGGACTATCTTTCACAGCTAAAAACGTGGTCATTTAAGGATCTGGCATTCATGGCACTCTTCATCCAGCGGCAGTGGTGTTGTAGGGACATCAGGACGAAACATGCCTCCGAAGTGGGCGATCATCTTGAGCAATCAAAGCGTGGAACTAAGTGAACTTCAGCCTAAAGCCAGCTAATTGCACTCGAGCAGCTGTCGAAGGGTAAACAGAAGGTCTATTATGCACTTAAAACCACATCCAGTGGTTTGTCTGCTGTGTAAGACTGGAGCAACATAACTTTCCCGCATGTGCCATAAATCAACTCAATTCGCTTGGCAACAGGTCGCTGATTAGGTCGCTGGAGCGATGAGTAATTTTCCAGGAGCTATTTTCGTGTTCGTTTCCTTTTGTCACGTTGAGGTTTCCGTTCCCCATCAGGACTCCCATTCCAGCAGCAAGTCCCAGCCCAGGTGTTTGGTAATGAGCTCAAAAATATCTCCCAAATAGCAGCTACACTGGGGGAACTGGGGATGGATGCCCTCTATGGGTACCACGTGCCTACCCATAAATGTACCTATACACCCCCCTGCACTGCCATCTACAGGGTATGCTTAAGCACACAACAATACGCAGCAGTGCACGAAGGAAAATATTATTATAGAAATTGTTGCCGTTGCCAAAACAGATTTCCGTTGCGAGGTGGGTGGGGGAAAGTGCTCGCATCATGAATGAAATTCGCTTGCCGACGGGCCAGCAACAGTTGTCTGTCCCACAGTCGGGCAGTGTGGCGGCGTGGCAGTGGAACTCTGATTTGGGGCTCCACAGTGGCCGGCGCCTGCGCTCTTCCCCTTGCACGTGGTGGATGCCATTCTGCTCGGCCTTTCGCTTTGGCGCGCTTTTATCCGTGTGTGCCACACAGCATGTGGAACGCATTTGGGGGGCCAACCATTTCGGCAGTGTGGCAGACTTGGGCGCCGATTCCGACGACTTTGCCGAGTTAGTCCTGTGAACGGATTCGCCTGAAGCGGTCGTGTCGTCGCCACCACATTTCGGTTCGTGAAGTACACAAATTGTAGTACAAATACCCGAAATATCAACAGAATATTTCGCATGCCGCAGCGTTTCAAGAGAATTTTTTCGCTTTTGAAGAAAGAAATCTTCGGCCCAGCCCTTGACGCATCGTTCGTGGCCCCCCAAACCCGAATACTTTTCGCTCTTTCGAGGGGCACACACTCGAGACCAAACCAAGACAAGTGTTTAAACTTAAAAGAAGAACAAATATCGTCTGGACGTGCACCCTTCTGCTGCCGTCATCCACCAAGTCAAAGGTGAGTACCAAACGGCGAAGCGAAGAGTTTCCACAGAGAGATCTTTCGGCAGCCGCTTGAAGTTGTTTCGTAGAATTCCAATGGCCACACGCTAAAGTTTTTGTTCATTATTTTGGCAAAAAGGCTTCAAGATTTTGGTTCTTTGCTGCAAGCTCCTTGCCACATCCTTGGGAGCAGAAGTTTTTATTCTTTGCCCGGTACCGGCGGTGGGTAAAAGTAAAAGTAAAAGTCAAAGTAAAAGTAAAATTGAAAGTTGTGTGATGTGAAAAGTTAAAGTTCTCTCGAACCTCTCCAAATGTTGCACGTTGACATGCCATTGAGTGGAGATTTTAATTATTTACTCGCTACAACAAAACAAAACTCCGCTGCTTGCAGGGGGGCAAAAAGTTGTGACAAAATTAATTTCACATGAGTTAAATGCCTGCGGAAAGTTGAATTTAAAATTGTATCTTCTCCATGATTTAATTTCTTAAGAGGCACACAAAATCACTTTCAAATTCCTTAAAATATTCCCCCATGAAAAGGAAACTAAAGACACTCCCGTTCCACATTTTAGTGGCGAAATATTCCATAACTCAGACTGGCACTGTCGCATTCCATTGGCGGTCAGAACAACTAGCATGTGAGGGTGGCCCTAGGAATTATAAAGCTGCCTCTTGGATGGCGCCTGTTTGTGCGCTCCACAATTTTGCTCATTAGGCCAGGCGGGGTTTCGCTACCGAATCTAATTAACTTGGCCCGAACTTTGTCTCCGACTAGCAGACAAAGCGACCACATTAAAGCCAATCTTTGTTGTCAGTTGGGGTTGGGTTTTCCGCAGCAGCAGAAATAAATGAACCACATTTTGCATATTCAAAGAGAGAGAGAGAGATAAGGGAGGAGGAAGCTGTAGCTGTTGCTGTTGCTGTGGCTGTAAAATGGCAATAATTCGATTCCATGTCCGTGTCAGTGTCACATTCTGTGGCTGATCCGTCAATGGGGAGGCCTGGCAGTGGGGCAGGAAATTAGCATGAGTCAATCAGTCATCGCTCAGGCACACATCAGCAATGATCAGATCAAATTTGTCAGCCACACCTGGCTGCTGTTGCTGTTGCTGTTGCTGGCTGCAGGATAAGGTGGATAATTGGGTAACGTAATCACTGCCACATACAGTTAGAGAGATACACAGCTACAGAGATACATGCCACAGTCTGTGTCGAGCCACAAATGCGCTCAATTAGTGTTTTTATTTTGTTGTTTGTGTTCATTTTGGTTTGGCTTTTGCAACTGGAAATTATCACGCGTTTTTTGCACAAGGGAAACGTCTATCTGTCGCGACTTGACTCTATCCTCATTGGTAATCCCTTCCACCGCTGAAACTTGCGTGCCACGAAAAGTTTTTGCGGTTCATAAAATTGCCAAATATGGGGTATTCGAAATGTGTCCACAGGGTCATATTTGTTCATCGTCTGCACTTGACTACCATACACTTCCCTTTCCCAGTGATGTGCGTGGCTTAAGCTCCTTCGAAAAGTTCTGCCTTTAAAGTTGCTGCCGACAGTTGTCAGTTGATCCGGGCCATCCTTCAGCCCGTAATGGATGTGGCTTGTGAGTGTATTTGCATCTGCCGTGATGGAGATGGCCATGTCCCTGACAGTTGCAGCCACAATGTTTACCAGCCACAGAGAGAGCTTACGGCTTGCACTCATTTTGTGGTTGATTGAGTGATTGAGCAGAGTGAATGTTGACAGGTTATCCCAGCTCCCTTCACTTTGCTCATTTACATGGACTGCCGAACCTCGGCTAAGTTTGCCCTCGAAGGCAGCTTAACGTAGGGGCTTTATGGTGTCTGTTCTGGGAAAATATTCAACTGTTGCTCTAATGGGCAAAGTTTCAATGTCCGCAAAATGCCCAAAGTATGCCTCAATTATCCACTGTGGGTAAAACTTTCGCTGCAAATAGGCAAGTTGTTTTTCCATTTAGGCGTAATAATTGCCCATGGGCAGGGGGCGGGCCACATATTTTGATTTATCCGCGCTCCTCATCAGGTGCCGTATTCCGTTTTCCGTTTTCCGTTTTCCGTTTTCCCTGGCTTTCCACGCTTTTCAATCTCGCGCCGCGTAAGCATTAATAAATTACATTTTATGCTGTTTGCCAGTGTCCCAGTCCCAGTCCCAGTCCCAGTACCAGTTTCCTCACAGAAATGGATATTTATGGGCTCTCTATATACAAAAGACGACTGTTTGAATGTATGTACATGTCTGAGCCTGAACTTCCTTTGTTTTCGCATCCCAGAGCTTGATTTATCGCATTGTTGGGGACATTCCCAAAACTTCTTATTGAATTTCAACGTTATCGGGAGATGGATATCCGGCAGCAGGCTGAACGACTTTAATGTGGGATTCCCAATGGCTATCATTTCCGCATCTCTTTGCCTGATTTGTATGATTTTTTCCCAACTTTAAAGCAAATCCCAATTGGCTGCCTTCGCGCTGGCTTTTTCCGGCCCACGCATAAGCCAAGGCTCAGAAATTAATTTGCCATATAAAACTGATTAATGCCCGCGCTGATTATTAATGGCCAAAAGGCAGGCAGCGAGAAAGGGAGCCTCCTTATGGGAGCCTAATTATGCTCCGATGCAAAGCGGAGGCATCTATTAACTGATGAATATGCAGTGAGTTTCCAGCAGCTGCCTTATCCATACTCATATCCATATCCATTCCCCAAATGAATGCCATCAGGCGGCTGTCCATTAGGCGGGTCCCATCTGATTAGTGATTCAGTCCAGGGGACTGAATCCCGTTCATTCTTCTGACACCTGGAAAGGCACATCTCCTGTGTGCTGTCTCTCCGTTCCTTTGTTGGCATGTAATAATCACTTTTTGCACTGCTCTGTCGAGCATCCTTCGGTGTTCTGTTGGCTGCAGCTGTCTGCCATGCGGGAGAATTCAATTACCGTTGCAGTCAGAATGGGCGGACTGGCAACTGTAGAATGTAAAATGAAGAGAATGAACCGTACGTAATGCCTGACATAAATAGGAAATTAAATAAATGCAAAGAAACGGGCGTTGGAGCCAGAGTCGACTTTCGTGTACGAAATCAGACGCTGACAGGCGGGCTGGCTGTCAATCGAGGCACATGGAGTTAGCATCCTTGGGTATATTTCGGCTGACAGCTGCGTGGGTGCCTCCTGTTGGGGCCTCTTGTTCATCTATTCCAGCGACAGGACACACCTGTTTGAGGGGAAGAAAGAGGACGCGACGTTATTGCTATTGCTCAGTTCCTGGGAATCCATTTGCCTTTGTGATTCGAAGCGCCTTCCGACGATTGATAAATGAAGCTGCTCCGGCGGCTCCTCTCGCGACTGTCTGCTAATGTTTCCAGTCCCCGACAAATGATTTATTGAGTTGACTTTCCATCGAATGTTTTTGCAAATGTTGTCACATCGGGATCAACTGGTTGAGGCTGCTCCTGATGATGATTCGATGGACAACAGGGGGGACTCAATTAATCAAGAAGGAAAGCCTGCTCCCTGCCCACTGTCCAACGTTCCCCCGCCCTGTCAGGTAGAGTCTGTTAAATATCTGTGGGAAATCAGAGTGGACTCTCTCACGGACAGGCATTGTCGTCACAGCGGGGATGGGCAGGGTCGGAGCAGTGTTGGAGCAGCGTTGGGTCAAGAGGTAATCCTTCACCCCTTTCCTCGGGGCATTCCCTGGGAGCCACTTCCCACCAGCGATGATGATTAACTCGCTGCCATTTATCATAAAATCGTTCTGCGTGTCCGAACCACAGAGGGCCATAAATAACAGCTCAAGGAGGGAGACAGAGGGAGAGAGAGTTCTGCTAAACAAAGATGTTTGTATCCTTTGTATCTTTTTGTATCTTTTATTCTTTTTATTCGTGTTCCGCAGTTCATTGTTCGTGCAAGGAAATGCCAAGAGGGAGAGTGAGAAATGCAAATGAAAAGAGGGAGCAAAAATCAAATGTAGAAGAGCAAGTGATACATTTGCATAAAGATTGAGATTCAGTTCGGATTCTGCATCGGTCGCTTTGCATTTCCCACTTTCCAGCTTGCTGGCTTTTATTTTTCTCATTTCGCTGCTAATTTAGGTAGGAACAAACCCAAAGCCCAGCCACACGCCACAAGCCGCCACACCCGCTGGGCAACCCAAATGGAGCACATCCCCATATATGGCTCCGGTAGGAATTGGCTTATAATTTCCCAGAAATTTTAGAGGATAAACAGCGATGCAGCATTTGATGGAATTTCGGCAGAGCGAGAGAGCCTCCCAAATTCAGGGAATATTCCTTATTCCTTCCCTATTGTATTCCGTGCTCAAATGTCTCCCCCATATCAGAGTTTCGTATCCCTTAGTCATGTGTGTGTGCTCTGCCCTGCTCCTTGCTGGTATTCTTTGGTTTTCCGCTTCAATCGTCTTTGTTCGTGTTTACATGCGTGTTCCTGTCACTCTTGTTATCCCTGTGTCATGGCATGGACCCCCCTGAACCGCATCCTCTCTCTGTTTGTGTGTGTGCCATTCCTCACTCACTCACTCACTGCTCCTATGTGTGGCCAGCTCTCATTGCTTTCCTTTCCCACTTTCCTATTGCTGCCAGACATGAGAGAGTATCGCGAAAATTCAATTGAATCGGCACTCCTCCTCCATGCATCAAATGTGTTCGACAGTCCAAGGGGAGGCATGAGCTCCCTCCATGGAAACGTTTGCTTGCCCCAAACAATCGGTGAACAGGGCTGGCTGGCACTCAGGGGACCCACTTGTCATAGTTAAACAATTTGTAATGCATTTCCGAACGAGTGCCAGAGCACTTTTCCGGTCTCAAAAAAGGGTTGTGTGCCTGTAAAGTGGTTACAAGTAAGGAATCTTCCAGCTAGAGTTGATCCAATAAAGTGTTTGCTGGAAGACAAAACCATAAGCTGCTTCTGCATTACATTTCCAAGAGTCGATGATGCTTCACTCTCTCAGATGAACTGACACTGACCAAACCTCGCGGTAAACATCTCAGTGCTGACGGACAGGGATTGTCTATCTGTCTGTCTGTGGATGTTTGTCCAATAAATATTTACACAAGAGTTTTCGGGGCAGACAGATGAACTGTCAGTACGGACGGGGGCAGCAGCAGCTTTCTGGCTTTTGCCACATGAAATCAATTAAAATATTTGGCCAACTGCTTGCAGCACAGAGGGTGTTGCAGAGGGTGTCGGAGCATGATAATAACCATAAAAACTAATTGAAAGTGCGCCCCGAGATGTGACTATAAAAAATTACGTATACGCTGCCGCGTGGCAACAGCGCGGAGAGAATGGACTCCCCGGAAGAGAAAACATTATGCTTGAGAGCGTACAAAAATGAGCTGCAAAACGGGAGAGCGAGCTTCTATCGATAATTGAAAATACAACACAAAATAAATGAAAATATTCGAAAATGAAGTACGCAGATTATTTGTTTATTTTGCGGGCCATCAAGCGGCCACGGGGCAGGGGAAGAGGCAGGCTAAAGCAGAACAAAGCCAGCAGCAAATAGTTGCGGGTGCGCGAGGGTGGCCAGCTGTCCATCACATGACCAAAAGAATGCCTAACGCATCGAAACACAAACGAATATTAATTAAAATATTCTTCTACTTCCCAGGACAGGGGCTCTTCTCTCCCTCTCCCTCTCTCTCTCTCTGTATTTATTCCTTATTTATTCATTCAATTTCCATACCAAAGGCGGCAGCTGGCCGGCAGCAGGAGAGAGGTGGAGAGAGGGCTTCTCTGTGTTGTGCCATTTCAAATATTTGCCAAATAATTAATCACGCCACATCGTAACCGAAATCACTGACAGATCCCGAGACCAGAATGAAATGGGCAAGACTCCGGGAATGCCAGTACATACCACCAGTACGCATATTTGCTGGTCCATGGCTGGTGGCTGCTGTCCACCGATAAAGGCAGAGGCACACAGACACAGCTTCATCATGCCGGAGGGCGTGCCTGAGGGAGGAGACAGCCACCCAGCCAGCCGCCTGCACAGATTACGATAAATTTTTAAATAAAGTCGACAGCAGATGGACGACTTGAGCGATGGGAGATGGGCCATGGGCCCATACAAACAGGTGGCGGGCAGGACACCCCATCGAGGGACGATTTGCAAGACTCTTGTCGGGTGATTAGTCAGCAGTTGGCCGAAATTAATGTAATCAATTATGGCAGCACGCAGCTGCTGGCTGCTGGCTGCTGGCTGCTGCCTGCTCCCCTAGCCAATCCCTGCCCTTGATTTCAACAACGTAATCAGAATTTATTGGAACCATTTGTTTAGGATCGAGAGCACTCCCCAGGCAGGTAGAGGAACTCGCTGTCTGTCCAAAAATCCAGCATGGACTTGCACTTGCGCTCGTCCTGCTGCCGCTTGAGGCACTGGCAGAGGGTGCCAGCGGTGACGCTGTCCATGCCGAGCTCCCGCAGCTGCTGCACCATCCTGTCCTCTGGCTTGGCACCCGGTGCGCGGCCCTGCACGGGAACCGGACGCATTCGCAGCTTGTGGCACGTGGAGGTATCTATGTCGAGGAGCACAGTGTTGAGGGTTCGCGGATTGTAGATGCTGCGGCTCAGGGCATTGTCCACGTAGATCTCGTAGTGGGCAATGTCGCGGTAGTCGTGCACAAACCACTCGATGGCCAGCGAGCGCTTGTCCATGCGGCGGGCACTCGTGATGGCCAAGGGGTAGCTGATCCGCGGCGAAGGCCGCTGCGGCCCGGTGCCGTGCAGATCGTTGAGGATCCGCTCCCGCACCACAGACATGGCGCAAATGTCCAGGAAGAAATTCTTCGCCGCCAGCTGCAGCAGCTGCCGACACTGGCCCTCGTCGGAGGCCATGAACTCAACCTGCGCCACGGCATGCCGCATGTGAACGCAGTGGCAGCAGCCGCAGCGCTCGCTGCTGGGCGGCTCGGAATTGCCTTTGCTGGCACTCGAAGGCTCCGGGGTTTGGCCTTTGCTTGGATTTGGCGTTGGATTTGCCTCCCCTGCGGGATTGATTGTCCCATCGGTGCTGACCAGCGCAAAGGAAAACTCCGGCACGCTCGGGCGGGACCTGGAGGTGCTTCTCCTTCCCACGCTAGCCAGGGACCTGCGACTGGATTGGGGAAGAACTTTCATGGTCGAGGGTTTCTTCAGCGAGACAACAGAGGGCTGGGAGCTGGGGCAAAAGGAGGGCGACTCTCCCGAGCTGCTCTTCCGCTGCAGCTGCACGGAGCTGGCGTCGTCAGGGAAGGCCTCTTCCCTGCGAAAGAGAGTCAGAGACTCGGCGGGATTGAGGCTGGAGTGTGGGGAGTGCTCTGGCTGACTATTCGCACTGCTGCTGCTCTCCCCCCTGAAGAAGTTGAAGAACTTTATGAGCGATGTCGTGGAACCTGCACCCACCACACTGACGGCCCTCTCCAGGAAACTCCGAACGGAGGACTTGGTGGAAATGCTCGTCCCTTGGGTTACGTCGCTCTGCGAAATGTCCTGCGAGTTGGTCTGCTGTTCGGCGTCAGAGCCCATCCTCGGAGCCGGAATCCATCTTTGGGTGTTGGTGTTTGTGGGATCCCTGAAGTAATTGCGGCTGCTGGAGGACCAACCACTGGAAGTCATATGCATGGCGCTCCTCGTGCTGTTGCTTGAAGTCGTCTGCGGGAGGCTCAAGCTCCGCTGATTGGTGTAAGAGGTTCGCGGGTTGAGCCTGGTGCCTGGTGGCTGATAGCTGGACGTAGTCCGGAGTGCCAAGAGGCTGCTGGAAGCCTTCCGCAGGCTGCTCTTGACCAGCAACTTTGGTGACACTTGCGGCGGTGGCGGTGGCGGCGGCGGCGGCGGCGGCGGCGGCTCCATCTCCCCGGGCAGAATGATGCTCACGCGCTTCGACATATTCGGTACTGTGGATTTTACGATTCACGGCCAAACGATGATGGATACTAAACTAAAGTGGACTTTGTTTATGGCAAGTTTATCGAATAAAGATAATCACTCAATGGGAAACTCTTGGCCTACTGGCTGCCCTGCCTGTCTCCTGCTCCACCTACCCCTGTCCATCTCTGTCAGCTTCCATCACGACAAATGGCTGGACCTGCCTTCCCGTGCCTTCTGCCCGCTGGCGCCTCAGCGATGATGTCGCATAATTTTGTCAATATTTTGCCCTGCCCGCGTGGAAATTTACATAATGGACGGACCTTGAAGCGCACATTAAACAGCAGAGCAGGTTCTCGTCCTTCCTCCCGTCATGCTCTCGTTATTTTTGACTCTAATTAGAAGCGCTTACAACAGTCTTTCCCTCTGATGGATGCTTCGTATGCCTGCGAAAACCTTCAAGCTTTGCTCGCAGCTCTTTCTCTTTAAGATCGCCGACCGTGCCTGCCGTGCTTGTTATTCGGCTTGACTGCGCCGTCCGTGCGGAGTATGATTAGCCCGCATGCCGCATTACACATACGCCGCGTTGCCACAGCGCCCAGATATGAGATATGAGAAACGAAAAAAGAAAAAACGCAGCCAGGCAGGCACGCAATTGTATTAAATTATGTTTGCCTTATGATTTATCTAACACACACATATAGGAGGGCATACAGACAACAAGCTGCTTTATCCCCACCGACTTTGTCTCGCTCTGTGGCTTCTGTCGTGGAACGCAGCGGGGTGCCGCCTGTCGGGGGGCAACGTCCTGACAACGGGGTGCCCACGGTGCAGCGCCTTCTGAGAACTGTAATTGCCTGGGCCGCTAGCTCGCAACAATTTAGATTCAGCGCAGGCCTAGGCCATAAACAAATGCTGTTACCTGAAACACCTTTAACGGGCGACGGCACCAAGGCGGCGTTTTACAGCCACACTCCCGCACCTCACCCCGCTCTAGGGGCAAAATACTTTAAGCCAAGACAGGCTAGAGCCGCATCTAGTACATGGAATTCACTTTAATTGATTGAGGTCAACGCCAAAGTTGAATCATTTCTCTTGAGAGATTACGCCCATTTCTCCTTTGGGCCGTTACTCCCCTGGGATCAGCCTCCATTGCATGTCGCAGGCGGAACCTTTAAGTTTTTCGGTCGTCTCCAGTTCCAGTTCCACTTCCGCTTTGTCCGCCGGCAAAACTAATTCAAAAGTTTTCATCTCTAGAAAAAACGAAAGCGAAAAACTTTTCCGCTCCCTTCCCTGGCTGATGAATTCTTTCTTCTCTTCTCTTTTTTGTTGACAAGTTTTTTAGTGGCATAAATAATTGACTGGCGGATAGAATTTATCGTGGGGTGACAGGGAAGCCGCCGCATGACGTTAGTTTTATCAAGAGGGACTCCCTTTAAAAAATATGCAAATAAATATCAAAAGGTAAAGCGGATAATCAAAATTCGCAGCAGCAGCAGCTGCCAGACCCATGGGATTTGGTTCATTTTCTGCAACAATAAACTGGGAGAGGAGGGGCAGGAAAATCATAAAAAATTACAAGAGATTACAAGAGATTCCGTCTGTGTGAATTATATTTTATTTCTATGCGAGGCATTGTCGAGAGTGTTCCATTTGCCAGGAGCAATTGACGGTTGCCCCACCCGTAGGCAAGGGTCTGACTGTTGGCTCGGTAAATACTCGCTCGGCAGTTTGCCCGGCAGCGTCCACGTGTAACGGGTTTAATGACAGGCCTCTGGGTCAAGCGCTTTATGGCCGGCAAACAAAGTAAGGGAATGGGCATGGGGCATGGCGGAGTTTTGACTTCCGGCCAGAAGGGGAGCAGGCAGCAAATAGTGAATTTAATGGCCCGAACATTAATTATTTCTCTGCGCTGTTTGGTCAGCTTCAATTTAAAGTAAATAAAAGGCCCAGCAGCACTATGGCCTCACCTTCAAATTGCGCAAAACTTCTGGCAGGTAAATATTTAATGAGAACTTCCACTGAATGCAATCGCAGCACCCAAGAGAGAGAGAGAGAGCAGAGCCGGGGGTCGTAGTGCACTTTGGAGTCTCCAGGCTGATTGAATTTGTGCGAAAATAGACTCGAATGAGATGCTGGCATCCTACTTGGCGGTTGGCAATCACGCATACGCCTCGTGGGCCACAATAAAAATAAATAAATAACGAAAAAAAAAAAAAAGGAAACACGAAAACGAAATAGAAACGAAATCAATGGAAAGCATTCGAATGGCAGCAATGGCTAAAGCAATCTAGTATCAAATTGAAATTGAAACAACATAAGGATCACCCCCGTGCCACACATCAGACACCTCCTCGCAAATCGGGGAAGCGAGACAGAGAGATAAGCCCCTCAGCCTTATGCCATCTCAGCCACTCGTGTGTCCCAGTCCCTGTCCTAGTCCGTGGCTTCCCTCTCTCTCTCTTTTTAGGGGATAAATGCGTCTGATTGCGACATGTATTTGCGCTTCTACACGAATGATTTTCTATTAGTTTGCAGGCGGGGGAGAGTGCAAAATAATTGGCTGCCCTGTCCTGCCTCAGCCTTGGGTTTGTTTTTCCTTAGGAGTTTATCTGGCAAACTGTGTATGGGGATGCGTGTACCCTGATTGCCGCAGGGCCAGCGCTTTGCCATGTTAAGCAGATTCTTTATTATGCAGTTGCAACACGACAATGCAGCAGGCTGTCGAATCATAAATTTTATCTCCACAGCCACATGCACACAGCGACGCTGCGTATGCGTAATATTTATGGGCTTTTCATAGGTAATGCAAATGCTTGCGGCTGCCCAGCATCTGCCTCTGCTTTATGCGGCAAAAGTGCAGTTCAAGCCACTCAAATGCCTATGCTCTTTCTCTTTTCAGCCCATGCTGGAGGCAACTCTTGTGGCACAATGTGGAAAATAAACCACGAGTCTGTGGCAGCAAGCACCGCCCTTGAAACCGTGCAGACCGCAACGCTCCTGAAGACATAGACAGACGCACCCTTGGGGTACGCAGAAGTGGAAGCAAAAGTGCCGAGCATTTCGACAAAAGCGAAACAGCGGAAACGGAAGTGGCCAAAGCGAGAGGCCGTAAAGAGCCACGCAACCGAAAGGCACACACCAACGACACGACAAAGAGTCGGAAGAGCAGAATCACAGAGAGAGAGAGATATTTTAAGGACAGCCAAAGGACATCTGCCGCCGTTAAAACATGTACGCCGCCCTAATGGACATGAGCCAGTCTGTGGCCGCCAGTCTGGCATATGCCCCAATGGATCTGAGCGGTGTTGGTGCCGCCAATGGGCAGAATGGAAGTGGAAGTGGACCTGGAAGCGGGAGTGGGAGTGGGAGTGCCAGCAATGAGAGCCTTGACTCTGATGCTGGCTCGTTTTTGGGTCAGCATAATGCCAGCGGCAACGGGCCGTATGTGCCCGTCTTGGAGCGCCCGGAGACATACATTGTCAGCGTGCTGTACACGCTCATCTTCATTGTGGGCGTGCTGGGCAACGGCACGCTGGTCATCATCTTCTTCAGGCACCGCTCCATGCGCAACATACCCAACACGTAAGTCCGAGCACAGTGGGGGCAGCCATAAATAATAATGCCACAAACATTCGAGCCGTAAATGAGTTCCGCCAACACGCAGGGCGGGAATAGCCACTCAAAATTCATGGGTTGACTTATGAGGTTGTATTTGATTTGATTGTTTCCCTAGATGAATATGTCGTGGACTATGCCTCACACTTTGGCGCGACTCTGCGACAATCTTTAAGAATTAACAGTTGCCAAAAGTTGCTTGACAATATGCTGTCTGCGTTGCAAACAACTTTCAAACTGAATGAATTAGGCAGGCAAATGTCAGCCGCAAGTTATACTCTCTAGTTTTGAGATCCACAAGCTGCCGTCGCTCGTGTTCTTGTGGTAAAGTTTGAATGTCGTTTTCTTGTTAACTTTACAGCAGTTACAGCAATAAATGTATATTGACAAAGGATGCCCGACAGATAACGTATACGCAGGGAGACCCCCGCCCGACCTAGCCAAACAGCCAACAGCTGACGACAACATGGCCTAGGCAAATTTGTATTAACTTTGGAAACTTGTACCTCTCTGTCTCTCAGTCGTTTCTGCCTTGACAAAATTCAAATAAATTCCAAATAGAAATTCAATCAAAACTTTCCTCTGCCCCAGTCAAAATGTGAACTGTCCGTCTGTCTGTCTGTCTGTGTGTCTGTCGTGCAACAAGCATCCATTTTGCCCCCTTTTTTCGTTGTAAATGAATGAATGGCTGTGGCTGGTAGGTACTCCATTCAGTTGCCATTAAGTGGAGCCCTGGAGGTGCTCTGATTGCCTGCAAAATAGTGGCAATTGGGAAACTGCAATCAATGGCCCCCTAATTGTAATGGTGATTGCCATGACGCTGGCCATTGTCGCTGGCCAACGATGCAAAACAAAGAGTTAGCACCCTCGTCCGTGCAACTCCCACTCACTCACTCACGCAGTCCAGACTTCGTGAGAGTTTGATTCATGCCTCATGCAATCAGAGAAGTCCAACAGTCCACCAGTCCACCAGCCCATCAACGATTCCCAAGAACAAGTCAAACGGTGCACTGGAGGTCGTTGGTGTCAATGTCAAAGCGATTTGCAGGCATAGAATTTTCCAATCTTCCACTCACTCGCCACTTAAATGGCTGGCAGCCAGCGTCCTGTGGGTTTCCCATTGTGTGTCGAATCAATTGAATCCTTGCGCAACAAGTCCTTACCACTGGCTGCCATGTATCGCTGCCTGCAGCTCTGCGAACTTTACTAATTCCGCAACAATTTCCACAACTTTTAGTGCTGCCCGAAATGTTACTTTAAGTTGTTCGTTTGTTACAGTTTTAGTCTACCCATTTCCATTCGTTTTCCTGTTAGGCAAATTCATTCCTTTCAGTTGAGGCGGTCGAGCGTGTCCGCCTGTCTGTCCGTCTGTCTATTTGTCTATGTGTGTTAGTGTTAGAGTGTTGGTTGCCCCTGACAAGGTTAACCCCTTCGAATGAGCAGGCACAAAGGCACAAATTTGAGTCAAAAGAGAACTCTTTCCGTGTGAGCGAACAATGGACAGACGGCATGGGAATGGGAATGACACTGAAGGATTGCTCTCCCCTCCCATTTTTCAGGTACATCTTATCCCTAGCTCTGGCCGATCTACTGGTGATTCTGGTGTGCGTGCCCGTTGCCACAATTGTGTACACCCAGGATAGCTGGCCCTTTGAGCGTAACATGTGCCGCATCACCGAGTTCTTCAAGGACATCTCCATCGGTGTGTCCGTCTTCACGCTGACCGCACTCTCCGGCGAGCGTTACTGTGCCATTGTGAATCCCCTGAGGAAGCTGCAGGTAAGTGGAGGAGGCAACAGCAACACGCTAAGCATTGTCTTGAATCTCTTTGCATGTCTTTTTGCAGACCAAACCGCTGACCGTCTTCACGGCCGTGATCATCTGGATCATGGCCATACTGCTGGGCATGCCATCGTTCCTGGTGTCCGACATTGAGGTCTACCCGATGCCAACGGCCGCCGGAAACGGCACCATCAAAGTCTGCTCGCCCTTCCGCTCCAAGGTTTATGCAAAGTGAGTGAAAGGGAGTGAGGGAATAGGCACGAGCTCCTGCGGCAGCAATCAATTTGCCAATTTTCCAATTTGCCAGCTGTTCGCCTCATTTGGCTTTATTTAGTCTGCGGATAATACAACGGGGGGCGGGCACTGGGGCGAGGACAGGCCTCAGGACAAGGTGTCCAATCAAGCAGAAGTGCCAGCCACTTGACTGAATCCGTTCCTTTCCTTTTGCCAGGTTGGGGCCTCTCTGCATAGATTCCCCAATTTATGAGGACTGCGTAGCCCCGTTAGAGTACAAGTTTTCCATCTTATCTCAGCTCGAGCAGAAGCCGCAACAGCTTCAAGGTGCCTGCAGGGGGCATTGTAACCCTTCAGAAGGGCATTAATCATTAATGCACCACCCTCCTTAATGCAACTTTCACCTGCTGCGTGCTGCTGGTTCCCCCATTGGAGTGTCCCCACGATATGCCAGCAGCCAGCTGCCAACCGCAGGCTCTGCCCGGACTCTGCCACTTAATTCCTTTCGCCAGCTGTTGCCACCACATAATCTGTCTGTGATGTAATTTGCGCGGATCCGGGAAAAAAAGGGAAGCGGCTGCCACGGATCTGCTCGCTAATTTCTCATTTAAAGCATATTTTCCCTCATGCCCATCATCATGGTGGGGAGTCTTTTGTTTCATGCTACTCCTACTGCTGCTGCTGCTGCTTCTGGCACGTGCTTCGGACCGCAATAAGACCCGCAAAATGGCATGAAAATGGGAAAAGCTGAAATGGAAAGCTGAGCTTTTCAGTGTCCCCAGTCCAAGTCCCAGTCCCAGTCCAGTGTCCGAGCCCGTACTTTTCAGTTTTTTTATGACCATGCGAGGAGTAATTGAATGTCCCCCAATCCCCACTACTCCTCCGACTCGGTATCTTCATTCATATTACTCGTATATGTCCAGAGAACGAGCGAGTGGGAATGCCAGGAATTTGTCGAAATCCTCTTATTAAATTGAAATGTTTTCCGGAAAGTAGGAGTAGGCATGGCAACTCCTACGATATCGACTCCTACGATCCCAGAGAGGAACCAGCCCAGAGGCCCACAGCCGCCCAAGGGACAGTGAAATTAATCAACTGTAGACCAGAGATCCCGTCTCCTAGTAACCAAAGTTTCTTGCAGATATATGATGGCAGCCAAGGCCTCCATCTACTATGTGGTGCCGCTGTGCATCATTGCGGTGCTGTACATCATGATGGCCAAGCGGCTGCATATGAGCGCACGCGACATGCCCGGCGAGCAGCTGAGCGTGCAGAGCCGGACACAGGCCCGTGCCCGACGGCATGTGGCCCGCATGGTGGTTGCCTTCGTGGTCGGTGAGTGTGTGCGATGGTGGCTCAGCTTTGACCACTCCAATAATTGCCTCTAAACTTGTCTCTCTTGCAGTGTTCTTCATTTGCTTCTTTCCGTATTACGTGTTCGAGCTGTGGTACCACTTTTATCCCACTGCCGAGGAGGATTTCGACAGCTTCTGGCACATGGTTCGCATCGTGGGATTCTGCACGAGGTGAGACTTCAACCCAATCGAGCAGAGTCAGCAGTTCTTCTGGCTGATGGCGCTGCTGCTGCTGCTGCTGCTGGGGGACATTCTTCTTCTTGGGGTTGGCATTCTTTGCCTCGAGGGAGTCACAATTTATGCGCGCACACAGAATATACTAGCTGGCAGGAATGCAGTTGGCTTTCCTCTCTCTCTCTCTCTTCTTTCTTTAGTTACGTTTTTCCCACAAACAGGTTTCCCCTGCATTGCCTCGAGCGCTGACTTTTGGCAGAATTTTTAATTGAAACAGATTATGCCTGACCCCCTGCATCCCTCTGCCAAATTGCTAGTAAATTTATATTTGTCGACAGCTTTCGCTGGGCGTCACTTTGCGCCGTAAAACACTGAAAATAATGAGTGTGCCAGCCAGCAATTTGGGGGCTAAATTCTACGGAGAGCTGCGGAGGAGGAGCCACACTGAAAGCAATTTACATATTATGCAAATGGGCGAAAACCATATAAACCCTTCAATAAAATTCCATAAACTAGAGCAGGCATCTCCAAGGGCACGACGCCACTGAAGCTATGCTCGGAATGGCTAAACATCCCCTCAGCAGCCCTCTCCCCTGCGAGCTCGACTACAGCTTCTTCATTCAGCAGTTTTGATGGCAAGCTGATGGCTCCTCTTTTTGAAATTGCAGCTTCCTCAACTCGTGCGTCAATCCCGTGGCACTCTACTGCGTGTCCGGCGTATTTCGGCAGCACTTCAACCGCTATCTCTGCTGCATGTGCGTCAAGCGGCAGCCGCACCTCCGGCAGCACTCCACGGCCACTGGGATGATGGAAAACACCAGCGTGATGTCAATGCGTCGCTCTACGTATGTGGGCGTGGGCAGCGGCAGCGGCAGCGGAGGAGGCAATCTCCGAGCCTCGTTGCACATGAACAATAATCAAGGTGGCGGAGGTGGAGGTGGAGGTGGAGCTATGCGTGGTGGCAGCTTCCACCGGCAGGACTCGATGCCATTGCAGCACCGAAATGGTGGAACAGCTGCCGCTGCTGGCAGTGGCCCAAGTACCGGATCCGCCGGACGCTCCACCACCATCAGTGAGAAGAGGTGAGGCACGCTGATCGTGGAGCTGCTGGAGGATGAGGAGGTGGAGGTGGTTGTCTCCATGCACGCCGACGAGCAGCTCTAAGCGCACCATTGATCTCACTTTTGTGTATGCACCACCCAACCAGTCAGACAGACAGACAGAGAGAGAACCTTCCCCCTGCACTTTTGCACCAGCCCTGGGCAATCCTTGGATTGTATTGGGACACCCATTACCCAATTGGAAGCTTTGGGGCTGCTCAATCGATGGTACAACCGTTGGTACAATTGCAAATAATTTGCAGTTTATTATAGCGCATTGCCCTGTACATACATACATACATATATTTGCTATTATTATCCGTTACTATGTCGTAGATTCGTTTATATATATAATAATGTTATAAATGTGTTATCCCTTTCCGTACTTTAGTCCGTGTGTGATGTGTTAATTAAGTCGGCCACTAAGCACAATAGCAATCGTGCAATAAACTAGCATATAATGAACCACAGAAATGAACAAAAAACGTAGTGAAAATTCACCTGCAATCTCTGTTAATTATCGTAAACGTAAACGTACATGTAACCCACAAATATCAATAGACTTAACGATGGCTTAAGTGCTGCAGTGTAAATAAATGAATTCCATAAATGTTGAAGCGGCGGAATGTGTTGTTTGAAGGCCTCTACCCTGCAGGCCTACGACTGTACATAATGGACGATTTGGTGCTTGCCTTTCAATGGATATTAGGATAATAAATAATATTACACCAGGAGAAACGAGAGCGGAACCCTTTTTCAGGCTCAGTAATCCATTTAATTTAACGGTTTTCAGCATAATCAATCGATACGAATGCGACCGGAGGCGATACTAAAGGAAGCAGCCGCAAAAATAGAAGCGGATAAAGGATCAAGGAAAAGAATTACGACCCATGGAAAGGCAGGACCTTTTGGGTTACACAATACACCGAATGTACACACACACACACAATGGATAAGTTGCACTTTGAAATGCTGAAATGCTAATAATAATAACAACTTTTGAAATGCGAATAAAAACATAATTGGATGTATAATTATGGAATGTTCTAGCGCGCAGACGGGGGGGAGGGAATGCTGGGAAAATGTCGGAGAATGTTATTCATTTGTTTAGTTAAGAATTTCTTTGAGCAACGAGCACACAGAACTCTAGGAAATGGACAAGGCCAAATGCAATCTGCCCCGAAAACACACACAGGCACAAATTTCATTATGGCATGCCAATCAGGAGGCCAACAGGCCTCAGCACTCGCCTTTGCTCTCTCGCCCGCAGTCACCCCCGCCGTGGGCTCTATGTAAATTGGCAAAACACTGCCTAAATTATCGGAGAACAGTCAGAACACATTCCCCTCCAGTCCCCACACACCCACCCAGAACGAATGCCGAGACAATGCGTGTAGTTATTGGCATCCAATAAATGTGGGGCCAGCCATTCAACTGGCCCCTGGGCAGTGATGCCACTCCGCTGTCCATCCAGCATGGCCCCGACCCATTTGCTCTAAATCAAAGCCGGGACGGACTGAGCCCAGGGCCCCTCCTGAGAGATAAATCCAGATCTGTGGGCTGGATGTACAACGGAGGCCGACACACTGCCACACAGTTCGAGCGGTAGAGTGGAGGCATAATTCGCGCTGCCACAGCCACAGCCACAGTCAAAGGGCATCAGCCTGATCCAGCGAGAAGCTAATTAATGGATTGCGATTGCGACCACAGATGGGCCTCTGATTTGCCCACAAAAACAGAGATCTGCAGAGTCCCATCTCAATGGGACGCACAATTAGCTAATTATACGCTGAAGCCACATCGACAACTTCAAATGGAGTGGCCTGCCACCGGATCCGAGCAGTTTAGTTGAAAGTTTACGGCCTCCGAAAGTCGGAAGGTAAGCTCGTTAAGGTAGTGGGCTGTGGTGGGGTGTAAATACTCGTAAACAGAGGCATAAAGTATGAATGGATTCTAGGGAAAGTTCCGAATGGGCATGCCATTCCGACAAAGATTTTACGAGGATTTCCTCCTCCTTCGCATGCATAATAGAATAACAGTTTACACATGTTGCCACCAGGTGCTCAAGAGGCTCTAGAGTGCTGTGCTTGCGCTGTGCAGCTGGTGCTAACATGGCACATGCAAATGAGGCCAAAGTAGGAAAGGGCTCGATGGGCATGTCCATGTACGTACAGCATGTGTGGTAATCTGATTATCAAATGCAGAGCCTGACTGTCTTGGGTCTCTAGACTCTCTCTCTCTCTCTACTCACCAAGTGGCCCGCCCTAAGTGATTTACTGGCCGGATGGGGCACATCCTTTATGGCATCGACGGCCAATAACTAACAATTAGGGGGCAGATAGCTTAGGCCGCCCCCTCATCTATCCCGGCATCTTTTATGTGTTCACGCATTCATAATTCCTCATTATGTAGAATGTCCCCGGATAAACAGGCAGGCTGCTTGTCCTGCTCGTCCTGTGCTTCCACGACGCTTTCCCTTTTATTCTTGTTCAACACGCAACAATGCCCCTACAATTTCCCGCCTTGAACATTGTTGAATGCTGCAAGGGAATATGCTCTCGAAAGCCAGTTGCCAGCTCTTGTTTATCCTGGCCCTTGATTGTGTTTTCTGTTCCCCTTGTTAATTGCTGTTCAGCTGTAAGCCCGGCTAAGAAAAACTTGCTTTCCTTTTCCTTCCTCGACAGCAGCAGAAACAGCAGACAAATGTGTCTGCTGGCGAAAAGGGCTGGTCCAGGAGTCTCGTGTTCTGATTGCGGCCAAAGAAAAGCAAGAAAAAATATCATTTGAGCCTGTTTATGTCTATGGGCATGGCCATAGCCCAGCCAGCAAGTGGTTTTATTTCCCCTTTCCGGCCCTATTCCGACTTCGCCTGATGGCTATCATTTTTCTTTAAGGCATAAACGCTCGTACAGCTCGGCTAGCAGTCCGATTCGGTTATTAAATGTGCTCTCGGTCTGTCTGCTTAAGCCCAAGCAGGAAGGAAGTGCTGTTCGCATCATGAATATTTTGCACAATTCATGGGAATCTTGACAGCTATGTAATGAATTTTAGATGAATGCTAATTGGAGTTGGATTCGCTAACCGAAATGTTCACCTTTATTGAAAATTCCCCACCCATTCGCATTCGCATTCGCATTCGCATTCGATTTTATGCTGTGCGAAATCAACATTATATTATCTATCCATTAAAATGGAATCAATTGAAATTGTTTGCCAAAGGGAAACTGCGGAGGCCCATTAGGAAACGAAATTTGTTGCGGCGCCCCAGCACACAACGGGCCGAGAGTCAAGAGGGAAGTGGGATGTATGTAGATGTCGATGTTGATGTTGATGTCGAAGCCCTTGATGCTGTGGTGCCGAAGTGGTGGGTTGGGGGAAATGAATGTTTGTCTGAGAGCTCTTCAAAGGCAAATGGCAAAAGGCCAAATCGATGAATTTAAATCAAAAGAATTCCATGAAACGAAAAACCGTATACCCGTGTCCTTGGTTAAAGTGGCCTATTCTGGGCAACTGTCATACTTTTTGAGTGAACACTTGTTCGAGAAAGGACAGCGTGGGAAGGAAGCATCCCTCCCCTCCCAGTCACAGGGAGGGCCACCTTTTCGGCAGTGTTAGATGGTGATGGTGGAGAGGGGTGCGAGTGGAACACCCCCTAATAGGCTTAGGAACAGCCCCAAAGTCGGCTTAAATGCAAACGCACTTTATTTAATGACAGTAGCAACAGCATTAGCCCAAGCAAGAGGAGAGATTAACGAAGTGGAATCGAGGTGGTGTTGGGTCAAGTTACAGTGACATGGAAAAGCATACGGAAGCAGCGCAGATTCATTAGAACAACAATCAAGCGAATACCTCGGAGGAATGAGGCAAAAAGTTGAGGTTCAAAATGCGTTCATTTTTGTTCCTTTGCCCGACCCGACCCACCGTACTTGCGCGGTTCGTAATTGGAAATGATATGGAGGGCAATTAGTCAGGCACCTGGCACCTGGCACCTGGGCATCTTCCTTATGCACCGTTCGCTCTGTTTGTTACTGATGGGATTTGCAGGAAGCTTTGCAGGAAGCTGCGGCGTCTCCCAAGCGGATTGAAACCCTCACACGAAGGCAAAGTCGGGTACTGGGGACCATGTAGGACCCCACCATGAGTGGCTTTATTTTTGTCTGCGGGGATTGGCACCCCCCCCTCTGAAAGTCATTTCAATATTTTGCGACCCAAAAAACTTTCCGTTGATCAATCGAATTTGTGTTTGTTATTTCAGTCGGAGGAGCATAGAGCCATTAAAAATCAATTGGGCCAGAAATGCAAAGTGCCTGCCACATGTGCGGAGCAGTTTATACCAACAGCAAAAAGCGGCACAAAAACTCTCAAGGTCCGCCCACACACGGACAGGACAGCCCCGACATGGATGGAGTATATCTTGAGGGCCGTACTGGGGATTTGGCTACATTCCGCTAAATTGATTCCAAACAGGCAAACAGCCACGCAGACTCGTAACTCTATAACGCCCCACTTGGCAAGGGGTCGGTAATGGAGAGGGGTATGGATATGGGTATGGTGGAGGGGGCGGGGGCGGGGGCGGGGGCGGTATTCATGGTCAGGGCGTGCACGAAGATTTTAAATTTTGAGTGGCACAAAATGCGCTGCTGAATGGTAGATGAAAATGAAACAACTACTTGTGGGTACATCAATCCCCGATCGATGTGATTGCATTGCCGGCTGCCCCATCGACTGCCCCATTATATGAGATGGAGCACTGATTCAACCGCTCTACTGTAGTGTTCGCTGTGTCGTTAACATCGATGCCATCGAACTGTAAACGCTGACTCGACCCGGAGACGCCTTCCGTTTCGATTTCTTCTTAGTGCCCGTCGGAGTCGGTTTCCCCATGGCTCACATGCACTTCCGACGGGCTGTGGCCATATCCTTGTTCTCATCCTTTGTTTCGTCAGCTCGGTAGCGGGCAACTGGCCATGATACAAATTGCTCTCTACCCCCATGGGAACCCACTTGCACGGAATGGTGCTTGCCATCTTTACGATTATGGGGGACACTTGGATAAAACTTGGTAATAAGGCTCGTTGTGGCTTTCAGCATTCAATGTGAATGCAAATACACGCGTCGCTATTTCGCTATTTTACAGCTATGGACAGCTGACATAACACTCCGCCCTCTCTGTCTCTCTGTCCCCTACTCCCTCTCCAGTTCGTTGGACAGCCATAAGACAAGTGTTGTCCAAACAATTGCTTTGGGCCGGGCCTTTATCGGATTGATTTGATTGA